GCGTACATCGAGTGAGGAGAGCGAGAGAGCGCGAGAGAGAGAGAGGAGTGGGTTGAGCGAGGGGCGAGGAGGGGAAGGGGTTGGGGGGGGGAAGAAGAGAGAAATAGACCTCCTCGAGATCGTGTTCCTCGATACGCGCGTCCCACATACGAGAGCTTTTCAGTAGGAAGCTCGGGAACTCGCTCAAGTTTAAAACGTCGGCTTGGAAAACGGAGACTCGGAATTTTTTTCCTTTTTTCTTTCTTCTTTTTTTCAGAATCTCTTAGGAGTCTCTTAACTTTATAAGTTGATTTTGGTTGATCACAGGCGAGTGATAAAAAGATCGATTATTCTTCTTCTCGAAGATGAAGGAGAAAAAAGAGATTTAATTGTTTCGACTGATCGAGGAAGGGAGTTCGGTTTAATGGACGTACGAATAAAGTTATTTATATTTATCGTGAATAATATGACGTAACAATAAGTCGGAAATAAATTGTAACGAAAAGCGGATCAATTGTAATAATTAATATGTAATTGCTGCAAAGTAGTTTTATTCGAGGTTTTTCAACGGGTTAATGCCCAATGTCTGATTTGAAACGTTGACGTTTTTCCTTTTCGAAGCAGAAGAAGAATTTCGATGAGAATTTCGTTCGAGTCGATTCGATTGCAACGAATATAATTTAAAGTGGAAAGAGGATTAATTTTTCTTGACGGGGATGAGATTTAAAGTTTCGAGAAGAGGTGTCTTGCAAGATTTTCGACTCGTTTAAATCGAAATAGATACAATGGATAATTTGAAGCGGAAACGGATTAATTTTTCTTCGAGGAAGGGGATTCAAGTTTTCCATTAAGCCTAACCGCTCGAGTTTAAACATTCTCTCTCTCTTCCTCTCTCTCTCTCTCTTGGACGGAGAAGAAGAACTTCTTCGTTTAAATTGGACGCAACGTATCATACACGGGAGACTCAAATTTCGACCCGATCTCCTATCCGGATGTTGGATTTCATTTTCCTTAGCGCAATGATTCCTTAAGCCGCGTCCTCATCGAACCAACGAGGACAAATTCAATTCGGCTGAATATCGCTTTCAAAATTGCTGTTCTCGAAGTAGCGGTGATAGAGGCTGGAAGTGGAAAAAATTATTTTTTTTCCCCGAGTTTGAGCTTATATCGAGATACTTAATTTTTAGAAAGCGATATTGCTTTTTATCGTAATTTATTATTTCGTTATAATACAACATAAAAATATGATTAATCAATTATGAGTAATCAATAATATATATATATATATATATCAATAAATGCTTAAATAAAAATGAGAAGAAATTACAGTTTTTTTTTTTAAATATGGATTATAACATTAAAAATATAATAAAATTCACTATTCGACTATTTTTCTTATAAATTTGAAAATTTGAATTCAATTGTTTCGATGCAACGTGCAACAACCATACATTAAAACTCTTATAGATTTAAAATTTTTAATCCTCTTTTTAAATGTTTACAGATTAAACAAAATACGCGTTTATATATAGCCAGATCTACCGATCGATTTTTCTATTTTTTTACTTCAAGTTACATTATACGTTTAATTCTCCTATATACACTTGTATATTTATATATCCTTTATATATCGATTACTTGTATTTTCTTTTTCATTCCTTTCCTTTATCGCAATATTAAATTTTCTTTATTGCATTTATCACGTAGAATAGAAAGCAATATCGTTTTCCAAAGATTCTAAATCTCCTCAAATATATATAACGTGAAAATCGGAAGTGGGCAAAAGAAAGAAAAATAACTTTGTCCCCAGTTTTGGCCCTATCTTTCCAACCACTAAGCGGCGTCACGTTCCGTTTAGTTCCATGCCCCTTCTACGCCGCAACCACCGCGGCGTAGAAAGCGTTGGCTCGCTTATTATCACTCGGCCACTTCCTCGTCGCTCTGACCTTTCCCTGACCGTTTCTCCTTTTCCTCGCGAAATGAAAGCAGCCACGATTCCCATCTCGCCGCTACGAACCTACGATTCTAACCAACCTGTGAATCGACCAGATTCGCACCAGACTTGGGGGCACCATTCCTAGAGAAAGTTGGCTCCGAAGAATCGGCCTTGTTCCCCCAATATTATCAGAATCGTCACGCGGAATCAACATCGCGCATTGGAAACTGGACTCGATGATCAAAATTTGTATAGCAAAGTTTATTATTATTACACGAATATTTATATTAACACGTATTTACGTAATTACATTTTAGAAACTGTTGTCACCTTGAATTGGCGACCTTTTTAAATACGAGTGCAAACTCGTTAAAACTAGAGAAATTTAAGTTTAGGAAGAAACTTGTCTATTTTTCAATTAAATTTCGTCCGCTTCGATCTACTCGATCCATTGATCGTAAAGGAAAAAAGAGACGAATACGGGTGTGAAAGTTTTTATTCCTTTTCAAACTCGCCGCCGGTTTCCCTCTCCGCGAAATATGATTGAACGTTAATTTCTCCCTAATCTCGTTGAAAATCGCGGGAAATTTCGCCACGAATCGGCCCTTGTTTATCGCTCTTCTTAATCCCCTCGATTACAGAAATCGAGATTCGTGGCTCGCGCGTTTCTGGTGAAAGCTGGCCGGCGTTCACCAGCCCTTGACCTTCCCTCGGCCGAATTCCGAACGAATCGGCCGGTTTCGTAAACTCGGCTCGGTGAAAGGCTGGAAAAACTGTGTTGCTTTAACCGAGGTTGAAAGCGATCCCGTCACGAGCGAAATCGAAAGGATTCCTCCCCTCCCCCCTCGGCGACTTTGCTCGCCCCTTGGACGGCGTCGTTGAGAGACGATGATCGCGCACGTGACGCGCGCGTCACACCCGGCGCCGCTTTCGCAACACTTTCCCCATTGTTTGAAAAAGGGAAAAAATAAAATGAAGCCGTCCCTCGAGGTCGTTCAACCGATTCAACCGAACCGGCGCTTTAAAACAGGTCGTTCAACCTTGCCCGCTGCCTTTTCGTTTTTCCGGGCTCGAAATATACGACGAGATACAATCCGGATTGTCGATGATCGGATTGGAAACAGCGGCGTTGCCTCGTCACGCGGCCTCGTGCGCGTGATAATAAAATGGACGGAACGCGTCGTGAATGTTCGATTAAATTTGTTTACGCGAGAAATCGGGAAAATCGCGTTCTCGCCTCCGTGGATGTTTAAGAATTCGTGAATACTGATCGAACGGACGCGAAAAATTCGTAACGATTCGTTCCATTACAGAATTGGAGAAGCGACTAATTGAAAATTTCGAATAAATGTTTTATGTAATTATTATTGCAATTATTATTATATTTTGAACGATAAATATAATAAGTTTTATTCGTAATGTTCAAACTATTATTTA